GTTAATGGTAAGCGGCGGCGGTGAAGGTGGGGGCGGAGAGGGCGGCGGTGGAGAGGGCGGAGGCGGCGAGGGTGGAGGCGGCGAGGGCGGTGGAGGGCTCGGTGGCGGCGAGGGGGGCGGCGGCGAGGGCGGCGGCGGGCTCGGGGGCGGCGGCGACGGTGGCGGCGGCGACGGAGGGGGCGGCGAGGGCGGCGGCGAGGGCGGCGGCGGGCTCGGCGGCGGCGGCGACCGTGGCGGCGGTGAGGGGGGAGGAGGCGAGGGCGGAGGCGGCGACGGAGCAGGCGGCGACGGCGGCGGCGGGCTTGGGGGCGGAGGCGAGGGAGGCGGCGGGCTTGGGGGCGGCGGCGATGGTGGCGGAGGCGATGGCGGCGGCGGGGAGGGAGGCGGTGGCGACGGCGGCGGGGGCGATGGTGGAGGTGGGCTCGGCGGCGGCGAGGGCGGCGGCGGCGAGGGTGGAGGCGGCGAGGGCGGCGGCGGCGAGGGCGGCGGCGGGGAAGGCGGCGGCGGAGAGGGCGGTGGCGGCGAGGGCGGCGGCGGCGAGGGCGGCGGCGGCGAGGGTGGGCTTGGAGGCGGCGATGGCGACGGCGGTGGCGGCGGCGGCGGCGGGGAGGGCGGTGACGACGGTGGCGATGGGGGGGAGGGAGGCGATGGCGGCAAGGGTGGCGGCGATGGCGGCTGTGGCGTCATCGGTGGCGAGGATGGCGGCGACGGCGGCGAAGGCGGTGCGGGTGGCGACGACGGCGGCGACGGCGGCGGGGCTGGCGGAAAGAGGTAGGTGGTGACATTGGTGATGAAGCTGAAGGGATCGGTTACGTTGGTCAAGTTGCTGAGGTCTAGCAGCGCCGCCAGGACGCCCGGCACCACCTCTGCGCTGACCCTGCCGCTATCTCTCGCGTCGTCGAAAAGGCTGCCCGGCGACGAAGGCAGGACGAACGTCTCGATCTCGACGATCACCGCGTCCAGCGTCACCGCCTCGGCCAACTCGCCAAGGTCAGGAGGCTGGGAGATCCTGTGCGACGTGTTCACCAGCCTCGCCCGCATGTCCCACTGAGCGCCGCCAGCGACGCTGAGTGCGCGCCGCCGGGAGAGGGAGAGCAAGCGCCGGCTCTCTTGTGGCGTCAGTGGTTGCGGCGGCTGCCCTGGCGGCGGCTGCGCTGGTGGCGTCAGTGGTTGCGGCGGCTGCCCTGGCGGCGATGGCGTCGCTGGCGGCGATGGCGTCGCTGGCGGTGGCGTCGCTGGCGGCGGGGATGGCGGCGCCGCCGCGATCTGTGTCGCGCTGCATCCGTCCGGGTCGTAGTCGTTGTCTGCGCGGCACAGGGCCTCCTCGAAATCATCATCAGTCCGGTCATTCTGCCGGGCGACCACGACGAATTGCTGGAGCACGTCGATGGACAGCTGCGCTGGCTCACTCTGGTTGAGGATGCCAGCGGTGATCGCCTTGATGATGGCGTCGACGGTCACCGGCTCCTTGCTGAAGGCGACCGTGCTCACGTCGAGCGTAGCCAAGTACTTTGAGACGGCCTCCCTTGGCGGCGACGGGGGCGGCGGTGACGGCGGTGCAGACGGCGGCGGCTCCGGTGCTTCCCCGGGAGCAAAGGGCGGGAGGGGCGGCGATGACGGCGGTGGTGGCGGCACCGGCGGCGGCGTCCGCACCTTCCCGGGTGCAAAGGGCGGCAGGGGCGACGGAGGGGGGGACAGGCGCAATCGCCCCCCACTCCGACAAAGGCAAAAGACTTCATCGAAATCTCCCTTTCTCGATCTGATTGCATTACAGTGTCCAACATGCCAATCAAAACGTGTGATGAAAATCACCCCTGCCCTGCTACAATTCGTCGACTCGTATCCTCGCCATTCTTACGCTGTCAGGATTGGCCTATTGGCTCAACCTCGACCCTACCCCGCGTCTC